GTCAACTTGGTGTAATGGTTAAGAATTAGGCTGCAGTCCAAAAGGTTTGCAGTTCAAAATTACCAGCCACTCCAAGGGAGAAAGGAAGGGCTTTCTACTCTGTAAAGTTAGAGGCTGAGAAACCCAGTGACAGTTCTACTTCACGCTAAGGCTTGCTAGGAGTTCGAACTGACTCAATGGCAATGAGTTTTGGGGTTTGGACAACTTAACGGGACCAGGACTCTCAGTCATTTCGAAAGTTAAGGGCTTGAAATTCCCCAGGACACAATGTAATCAACCAGTAATAGTGCCTGCGAAGAACAGCCAGTTAGTACGATTAGGATGGAATGCAACCTCCTTACTCAGGTGACAGCCCTGATAAAGTCTCCTCAGGGGTGTGTGGCCTGCTTCCTGTATAAGGAGATGCTTGGGGAGCACATTGCTTTTGCTGGGTCTGGATCCTGCATCTGGTTCAACCTCATTTGCCTGCGAACTATGGGAGCCATCAGTGGCCTGCCATCTGACCTGCCGACTTTGGATTCATTTGACTCTGCGGCCCCAAGTCTGCCCAGCCGATGTTGGATTCATTCTCCTCTGCAGGCCTCCCAGCTACATGACTCACAGGCTCCAGCTTAACAACTTGAACTTAACCAGACTCACTACCCGAGTCTACAGTTGTATGAGCCATTTTGTTGACATCCGTTTCTTTATTGCTATATATTGTTGCTGGTTTTGCTTCTAGACTTAAGATGACTAGATATCCCGCTTTTGGGGGGACAGTCCCAATTTTGGGCATGTTAAAAAAGTCCCGATTTTTGGAAAGAATGCACAAGCTAGGGAATGGTCTATTTGGTCCATATAGACCAAGTTTTTAATCAAGAACCACCCCCACCCCCCACCCCCGTGGTGTCCCACTTTAAATCTGGTCACCTTATTAAGAGAAGCCAGCCTATCACACCATGTAAGCAGGCTGTTACTGTCAAATGTGCAATAGGTACTCCAGAGAAATCCAGCTGAAGCAGAGGTGATCTTTGGGTGAGATGTGATGAAATCGACTTTAAAATCCGGAGTCTAGAACATGCTGCTTTTACAAGTGATGAAAACCCAGACTAAGGCACTATGAATTGGGGAGCCAAGGAAGACCAACAAAAAAACTGTTTTAGGGCAAATCCAAGAACTTTGGTATTCTGATTGGGAAGGCAAAGTTCTGATTCAATGTAAAATTCATTCCCATCAAAATACA